TATCTATCTATCTATCTATCTATCTATCTATCTATCTATCTATCTATCTATCTATCTATCTATCTATCTATCTATCTATCTATCTATCTATCTATAATTAAATAAATAAAACATGCACTATATAGTAAATTTGACTGCTAGATCAGTTGTCTGAGTATTAATTTGTCTTACTTATTTAACTAATTAGTGTATAATTTAGTTTGTGTAATTAATCAGTTCCCTCAAGGCTGGCAAAGCCCCCACGATTCTCAGAGAAGGCAGGGTTGCCTCCACATGAGGAATTAAGTACACGATTAATGTGTCAAAAAACACTTTCATATTAAAGTGTCCATTAAAGTTTCCTCTGCTTAATCTCGACCTTAGAGAGCAGAGTACAACTTTGTAGACAAACATTACTTTAATTCCCATAATTCTACTGTAAAATGCAATATAGTAAAAAGTGTCTCAAATATCTAACAACCTGTGCTGCTACTGAATACTGTGGTGGTTATCCATGAACACAACCTGACCTTTACCATTCACAGTTCTTAATATGTGTCTACATGTGTTAACAGCCTCGAAAGAAATTCACAAGTTCAGTAGAAACTACACTTACAAACCTATCTTCATAAAAGATTATTAAAGAACGTCCTCGCTTATGAACTCCAGTAGCGATTCACAGAGCTGATGATGGCACTAGCTACGATGGCACGTTCACCGCTGCCGGTCTACTAGAGTGGATCACACTGCTAATCAGCCCAGAGTGGATTTTCTCAAAGAGGAATGTTACGACAAACATGACTCTAATATTAGACTGCCAGCCCCGGGGCACTCATCTTCTCTGCTCTCCAAGGGAAGGTTAAAAGCTGGAACCTCAGTTGAAGCAGATCACACAAGTTTTTAGATGATGTATTGTAATCTTTTGGTTACTCTTGTGCAGAGAATCGTAACTGCAAACAGTTAAATCGGATAAAAATCTCTTAGATGTTTTTTCGTTTTATGTCTGTTTAGGGTCATTACTGGCAGTGAATGCAAGACCTAAATGTATAAAAGTACTGCATTAGGGAATTGTACTTTACTGAGGGGGAAATTTTCATTTTCAAAAATGAAAAAGGACACAAATTAATTACAGTACAGAATAGGTTAGATATTTGTAGCTCCATACTGTTGAGGTTAACATCTTGTGTCAGGAGAGCAGCCGAAGGTACTTTTTATTTAGTTTAGAGATTTAAAAACAGTAAAGTGTCTTTACTTTCATAGCCTTCCCCTGCCATCCAAGATTTTATGTAATACATGGAGCATCATGGAGTTGCAACAGATTTGTCAGCTGCACATCCATGATGTAAATCTTGGGAATATTATTGGGATCTGTTGACCATGGAGGTCATCTGACTTCAGTAATTTGCTATTATGTTCAAGAAATCACTACCATCACCAGTCTGAACTGTTGTTACAAGCAGAACAGATCCTTGGTTTCATGTTGATTATGTCAAATTCCAACAGGGTTGACTGAATCTAACGAAAAAAATAGCCTTTATTATAGCCAATGAAACATATTTAAATAAATGATAACATAAAGTGAACAAGAACTAACAAAACGAAAACTGGGAAAAACCAAAACATGAAACCTGAAAATCCTGACGCCATGAACCATGGAGACGTGAGGAGGTAAACAGAAAGCTCAACAATGGCTAATAATGGAAGTGAAAACACAGCTGACACGATACCAGAGGGGAAGCAAAACTAAACACACTAAACACGGAACACAAGACTGTCAAAATAAAACAGGAATCATACTGAGACGTAGACTGTGAAAACACACGCTTGACAATAGGACATGGAACACATGACAGATTAGGGAGCTAGAATGGAACACAAGGAGGGGAACACAGGGACAGGTAAGGGGGACGAGGCACGGGCATACACAGAGGACAAGACAGACTTACACAGGAAACAGAAAAAGACACATAAACAAGGAAGCATGGATGATAGCATTAATTAGACTGAAACCTAGCTAAACTATACTAACAGTAAGCACTAGAACTAAAAATGTCCCCAATACATCAAAAGAAATCAGAAATACAAAATAAACTCAAAATGCTAGGTCACTGACCCAGCACCCTGACAGCTATAGCCCATCTGCTTCAATGTTTGATGTGTTATCCATTTAGAGATACTCTTCTGCATTCATTTTTGGATAATTTGAGTTGCTCTTGTCTTCTTATGATCTTGAAACAGTTTGTCCATTGTCTTCACCTCTGAGATCAAGAAGGTACTCAGGCCTAGAAAAAGGATAAACCCTAGTAAACCCTGGAGATGATTGTGCAAGAAAATCCCAGCAAATCAGCAGTATCTATGTCTAATTTTATGTTGTAATGGCTAATTTATCATCAAGATTTATTTGTGAAATACCTCTTTGGCTGTTTATCCAATCAGTGTGTGGAGGATATCAACAGCAAAAGCAAAAGTAGTGTCGATGTAGTGCCAGTGTAGCAAAGCATGTGCACAGAGTCTAAGACACATAGTTGATTTAAGGTGTAAGGAGCACTTCTGCCATTTACAATAATCATGGAACAGCTACAAACACATGCAAATAGCCCCTCCATTGCAGATTTTCTGGCATTTTGTCTCTCGACAGAGAACAAACTCTATATCTTAGCCAGTGTTTTAAAGTATAGACAAATCCTTTTGTATCTCCAACACTGTGAGTTTTTCAGTGTGCACCCATAGCCTAAGCACACTTTCAAGCTCGGTACTCCGGCTGCTAGGCAGTCTGGGTATCTCTCCTCCCACATCAGTGCAGTTGTCTAGTACCCATTAACAAATACTGACCAAGGATGAAGTCAAATTCTCAGCCTGAAATCTTCTTTCAGTCTCCCTCTGGACAAATGATGAATTTAACGGCAGGTGTCTTTTATGCTGTGCCAGACTGTGGCAGTCAGCAATACCCAGGCTCTGTCCCTAATGAAATAACCCCTTCTGACAGATGGCAAGTACCACTTTCCCTCTGCTGCATAATTTAAACTGACCTCTCTAATTGGACAATGATTCAAGTCATCAGCCAGTGGGAGAAGGTCAAGCCTGTCTGAATCAAATCTTAGTTGAGATGGACAAAGCTTTGTTTATCTTGGGAACAATATCAAAGTAACTCATGAAAACAGAGCTGAAATACATTATTAATGTGCAAGTCTCAGCTCCAAGATTAGCTGCTTTTATGCATAAACAATGCTTCAGTTTGACAGTGTTTTGCTTTATTTTCAGTTTATTCTAATCTCATCTCAGATGTTAAAAACAATTCTTCTTAATCGTCACCTTGAACCTTGAATCTCTGACTTTACCTTTTGTGTTATCATGAAGGATTCAGGTCAGCGTCACAAACTGGAGAGACATCCTGGAACAGTCAGATTTAACAACACAATTTCTCTTTTATTTACCTTTTTGAAATAGTCTTACAGAAAAAGAAGATCAAGACATTTGATCTTCTACCTTCTATTGCATGCACATTGATGCCCTGCCTGTTAGTAGCTCTGCAAAGCCCGTGACTGCTCTCTCACCAAGCTCTTGTTGGTGGTTGGTTGGACCGCAATCATTTCACAGATAGCCATGTGTAGTGACAGTAGCTGGGAAAAAATGATGGGGAAGAAGTCGGGCTACAAACTGGATTCTTGTTCGACAGGTTTTTGGAAACATCTCTATCACATCTGATGGATGTGAAATTGTTTTTAGACACAAGGGTCTAGGTTCTATTTTTGCCTAGAACAAGCAAAAATAAATGATTACTTTTGTTTTGAAAGGTTCAGAAAAAGTCATTGTTCAGATTAGTATGTATAAAAAAGTGCCTGGATGGATTATGAATATAATGAACAGGCTTATTTATTGCAAAAGAAAGAAGGAAAGAAAAAAATTTCTAACAGCCAACAACAGCAGTTAATCCTATTCACTAAAATATGTGGGTGGGGGTGGAGACTAACAACACAGAGCCTTTCCACCCTGGCACACCAAACCAGGAAAGCCTACTCACTTCAGTGCAGTCATCACATGTCAAGGATGCTGCTTATTTCATAGCTGTTAGTGTCGCAGCATCATGGGATTGGACGCAAGAAGAACTAGTCACAGATAGCAACCAAAGAACAAAAGCACACCATAGGAAAGTGCTCTCAAGTAAATTACCGAACTGGTAATGGGAAGGAAGGTCAGTAATGTTCTTCTTCAGGACCTAGAGGAAAGAGTCTTAGAGGCTCAACATGCCTGTGCAGCGAAAAAAACAACAAAGCACATTGTTTGTCTGGTAGCTTGGTGTGTAGGACAGAAACAAACTGCTGACCTCTCTTGACATCTATAGGACGAAGAAGAGTTGGGCAGCTTTACAGTTGCACATAGAGGCAGACAAAAACACAAAGAGGCTGGTCGTGAGTGATCAAGCCCTAGCAATTGCGGGCAGTAGTTATCTGGTCTCAGCTGGTTGGCAGATCCCCACTTTTGTTCAGCTGACAGACGAGGGTCCAGAAGGTGACTAACAGGATGAGGCCAGGGAGCCACGTGGCCCCCTCGAGGATTACAAGCAGCAAGAAGAAGGTAAAGAGATTACGCTCAAAGCAGAGCCTGCTTTTTTAACCTTGTAACTGTTGTTACACTGACAGCATGGAAGGAAACTCCTGAGCCAAAATATCATCTATTCCCAGATTCTCTTCCTTTGCCTCTCCTTCCTCCCTTGCTCCCACTGCTCGTCCATTCATGCAATCACCTCTGCAGTGTACTGGGATCCCACAGCATCCAGGAACTAACGATTGCAGAAGCTGAGTTTTGGTGCCTGCCAAGAACTCCTATGCACTGATGAGGAGACTTTTATACATTCTGCTAAAGAACTCGAAATAAGGAGATTCTGGATTTTATTGCTTTTTGCCACAGTCACTTTACAAATGATAACTTTACACTTTAGCCCATCATGCTTTTGAAGTCGGGACTATTCTTAACTTTGTGTCTATTTACCCTCCAAGCAAGTCAAATCAAAGGTAAGAATCATCTTGTAGAATGAAGAAACTTTCTTTAAGATGCATCTGATTGATAGCTTACTAAAATTTAGAAAATAAAAGTGACTGTTCGCATTCCTTTAAGTTTGGCCAGTGACAAATTATCCTTTAATGCAAAGATCTACCTGCAAGTTTGTTTTTGTTTTTTAGCAAATTTAGTGGTGAAATTTAGAGGAACAACAGGGTATTTCTGTTTTATGTGCATGAGACTCTGTTACCTAAATTACTCTCCCGGCAGGCTACAAAATGCCAGTTCACCCTCGGAAAGATCTTTGATTTTTAGATGTCAAGCAAATGTCAAGCAGATAGCGAACCACTCTTAAGGTCATGAATATTCAGTGTGAATTAAACTGGTCGTGACATCTAATAGGTGTTCACTGAGAAAGATAGCGAAATTTCAACAGGGATAACATTTTCATCGGCACTGGTTGTCTTGTTCAGTGTGATGTGCCCGGGTGAGCTCATTATCCTGAAGGAAACAAAAGCCATTCTGTTCCCAGTGTCGCAGGACACTAATCTTTTCTGGCTTGTAATTCTGCTGTGGGGCCTTTTTGCGGATGCACTGGGCATTAAGGCCCGTGCCAACACTCCCTCCTTTTGCCTAGGCCCTCGTGTCTGTGCATGTGCAAATGAGGCTTCAAGCAAAACCAATTCAAATGTTATGCTATGAATCTTAGGAAAAAAATGATTTGGCAGCTTAACTTGCTGAAATGTTTGGAAACTATTTTGTTCAATCAGTCTGCCTGACAGTCTCTAAACTGGAGGCTACGTTCCTCATAAAGCTACAGGTTACAATCCTAAGCATTCATTGCATTTTCTTGGTCTTATGCTACATTTGGATTAAAGAGTACTGCTCATTTCAAAGGGTTTTATTTATGTAGTGCAGTTACACATGCAACATATTGACAAATGCAAAGTAATGAACATCTGTCTAAATAAGGCTTCTTTATAACTTCCAAGTTTTTACATAGAAATAACATCAAGCATAATGAGGTTTCTCATGGGATGTCATGTGCACAGTGCTCAAGCGCTGTTTAGCATATTGCACATGATACAACCACTTCTTACTGTGGAAATGTGTTCTTGGAGGTTTCTGACACTCACCAGGAGAAATGGGTTCCAAAGAAGGTGCAGCATCAAAACACTCATAGTGGTTGCTTTAGTTGCTAGAAGACTGGTACGGTTTTGTGTAGTTGCTCTTTCATGCTCTGTAACAACTAGCCTTCAAAGTAAAAATGGCACCCTTTGAAACATGTTGGCTATAGCAGCGGTCCCCAACCCCCGGGCCTCGGACCGGTACCTGTCCGTGAGTCGTTTGGTACTGGGCCGCGAGAGTTGAGGCTCAGGTGTGAAATGTATGGTTTTCAGGGTTTTTATCGGTTTTCAGCATTATTTTGTTATCGTTTTTATCGTTTACTCGGTTTTCCTGGGTCTTTTCACGTGTGTTATGAATAAATCTTCTTTTTTTCGGTACCGGTACTAGTTTTATTTTGACACCTTAAATGCCGGTCCGTGAAAATATTGTCGGGCATAAACCGGTCCATGGCGCAAAAAAGGTTGGGGACCGCTGGGCTATAGCACTAAGCCACAACTTTTACTTTGAAGGCTAGTTGTTAGCAAGAATTTGCAGACGAAGATACAGTCATTTGTGGCAATATACAAGAAACCAAAGCATCACCTTTTCTGGTTTGTGTTGCACTTCTTACTGCAGCCCAAAGACCACCCAGACAGTGTTTGCAATGTCTGTCGCTTACACTCAAACTGCGACCGCAGCAATAAGCTAGTGACCAGTAACAAGGAGGTTTATATCAGCTGGTTTTGGGAATTTTTCCCTAGTGACAGATTGTTGCCAGGCAGTCACCGATTGGTCTCTACATCTGTGTGACTGGAACAGTGACCGTCCAGCAACCAGTCAGTGATTAATCATTTTCCCCTCATGACTGATGGTTGTGGACTGGTCCCTAGGTCACTCGATCCTACAGTGATTGTCACGTGTCTCAAACGGCGGTCAAGTTAATGCCACCTGATTAGCGGTCACATGTGTGCAAAACCTAAATAGGAGACCCTATGGAAACAATCGCCACCAACATACTGTATGACTTCCAAAAAGATTATGAGACTGAAACTAGGACTCAGTCTGGGACTATGTTATAAAAGATGGACACAGCCACAGTGATGTCACCTGGATTTCCACCTTCAACTGAAGCATTGGACTGTCACTGTCTGAGTTATTTCAAAGAAGACATGATAAGTGAGGAATTGATGAGACAGTAGAAACGTATTTTTATAAGGTAGCAGAACTAAGATGCAGATAGTGACACTGCATCCATCTTTTATGTACAGTCCAAGGTATTAATTAAATGAAGTTAACATAAATTAACACGGTGGACAAAGATAGAGTGTACACAAGCATTGCCAGCTGCTTGATTGCAACACATATTCTATCAATGTAACAGCTTTGCAATAAAAATCATTTATAATATTGCACAATAACAGTAATTCAAGTACACTGTCCACTCACTGCAAATGTTTAAACTCACTTCTTGAAACTGTCACGTATGACAATGTTTGTGATTCACAATGCACTGGTGCAACATGCAAAACAGCTCCGTGTGCTTTCATAGATATGCAAAATTTAAGTACTGAGATAGCCCACTCTCTGTATCTCCCCAGAAATATACCAGCTTCAGCTAAAAGCTCTGAGTCGAATACAATTGCAACAGTAATTACACACTCCCTATTTCTATTTGTCCGTATTCTTCATTCTCTATCCTAATCCTGAAAAGGCACAGTTTTCTGTTTGGGCTCAATGACCTCCAGACTCTGTTTTGGGGCTCATAAATCCCAGCTTATTCTCTTAAGAAGTCCTCAAAGGTTTGCCACCTGGCACGACAATGATTGCTTTCTTCTAAAATAGCTTTATTCAATGGGGTAACTGTGTTGGAGAGACTGACTGGCACACTAGCTTTTGTAATGGCGCACAATTACCTTCCTGTAATTCACCAGTGTCACTGAAGCTCGTAAAGATTATTTAATTAAACTGATCAGAAAATTAGAGCAGCTCTCATCCTCTGTGCAGCATCTCAGCGGTATAATTCATGGAAACAGGGGAATCTGTGTCATTTCTTCAATGCCTTCATTTGCAGAATTGTTCTTTTCTAACCACTGTAGCTAAATTCAATCTCTTTAAGGTTTGCTATAGATGCATACCCTTATTCGACAGTAATCCACACGCACGCATTTCTGCTCATTCATACTTGGCCCAGCACGATCTCATCGCTTACTCTTTTAGCCACTCACCAGTCTCAGTGACGTAACGTGGGTTAAGCTGCACAAGGTCAATTCAACTTAGAAAGTCTTTCTCCATATGTCTCTGCATTTTTCCAGTCACAAACAAGCACCTCTAAGATTTAGTCTCTGGATGTCTTCATATTGAAGTAAACTTACAAGCTTGAATCAGTGTCTGCGCCTTTAAAAAATAATTAAATCACACACAGAGGCTGTCGTTGGATTAGACAGTCCTAAAATACATGTACTCTATGTGTGATTTCCTTTTCACTACAAATGCTCTTTAAAAGCAGCGGTAAAGCAAGCAGCAGTTAACATACCGTAGCACAACTAAACAGATGGCACCTTGCTGGATAAAATACCTGTCAAATTAAATTCTCTCTGGTGATAGTAAGTGCTGGCTGCCCATTTTCTGATATGACAAGATTAATAAGGGTTATTTGAAAGGGCATGACAGCATTTTAGGATTGCGTTTCCTTAAATCTGGATGGATTTTTTTGTGAACCACCTTTTAAAATGTGGAATTCTTCATGTGAAATATATTTTGGCTGTCTCGGTCTTATTTTTAATTTTTTAAACCTGGATGAGACCATATTTGGGTGAGATGATATAAAGCTGGAGCATTATCAACATAGACGGTATAAAAAAAATCCCATGAAGTCACATCATGAAGCCTCAGCGTTTTTGCCATTGCTGCTGCGACTGTGAAGCTGCATACTCATTGGCTACTGACATGTGATGGACAAGCTGTTAGTCACTAAACATATCCTGAATAATCCACTTATCTGACTCTTGATCACATGATGATGATAATTGAATAAAACTGATAATTGATAAATGATCATAATTTACAAGATGAGCCTAATGTTCAATTCAATATGACCTGAGCACTGAGGTCATGACTTCTATGGAACCAGAAGTCTTTTGAAGGCATTTGTGCTTTGACTTCACTTTTTAGAAGCAGAAAATTTAAATTTAACCTGTAACACTAGTGAAGACTGACAAATCTGTTTAGCAAGGTCTGTAATTCATTGTGATATTAAACAGGAAATTGATGGCTAATTCAAAAAACAATAATACGCTTATGCCAGATTAGTTGGATTCCCATCAGCAAGAAATAATGAACCTGTTAAAAATGCAAATAACAAAGAAACACGTTGCTGTTTAATGCAAACCATTCAGCCCAATTTATGCACAATATGTGACTCACTTTGGAGCATTTAGTACATGGAGTGCAATTTTACCTTTGTTTTGTCACCCATCAGTTGTTAATTATCCCAGCCATCCACACAAACACTTGTACTGCTGCGGGAGAAATCTCACACCAACCTGACAGTCAACAGAATTACATCCACTTATCATGAAGTGTTTGATTATTCATGTTGTGAGTAAAAACATTCTGCCTGACTTAATAACTTCTTCTTTGTGACTCTTGCAGACCTTCACGACCACAGCTTTTCTGGACTCAGGGATGTAAAGTACCGACACTTTCTGGAAGCTTCCAGGCCAATCCCACATGCAACCAATGTCAGAGCAGAGCAGGGTGGACATCGGGGAAAGAGGTCAACGATCTTCACTACGGGTGTCAAAGTGTGTCCCCAGGAGAGTGTGAAAGCAGTCATCGGCAGCCACCAGGCCTATTACAAACTCAGAGGTGAGATGAAATGAGCAGTGTTAGACTTTAGTGTAAGCTTATACTGTACATGGAGTCTTTAAACATTTACTTTGTGCCTAATCACAGCAGAGTGTATTAGTATAACAAGCCTGTCCTGAAATATTTAGTCTATTAGAATAAGGGGCAAACAGAGATGTCCTAGCAGTTGAATGAACAGCTACCAAATTGGATGTTTTATCCAATCAAAACATTTTGTAAAGACAAGGTTTAGTCAGCTAGGTCCATAGGATTTTAAACCAGTGGATTTTAGAGCAATCGATATGTGACTAACATGTAATTCAGGAGTTTTAACAAAAGCAAATTACCTCAATTTTTAAACATAGTCCCACACATTCACCTGATACTTCTACAAGGATTCACATCATCAATAAATGTTAGTGACCTGGTTCCACTGGAAGCTGTAGATGCCTGTGCCACCATCTCTGATGGATAGTCGATGAAGTATATTTATATTTAGTCTGTCTAAAGAGTTTTTTTTCCAGGACTATGAAAGGCTAATCTGGCTTTCCTGTTCTTAACTGTAACCAGTGGTTTGTATGTTGTTATAAATCCTCTGTATTCATGAAGGAGTCTCTTGACTGTTGATTTTGACAGTCTTGTTGAGAGTTTCTTGACTTAGTTAGATGTTGTGAAATAGTTTTTCTTAACCAAGAGAAGACTTTGGGGATCATCTACTTTAGCTATCTTCTGTGTCCAGAGCAGGCCAGCGAATTCAGTCTTTTTAAGAATATAGCAGATTTTTTTAGCCATCAGAATTGTTGTCTGAAGGCCAAGAAAGATGCCAAGCAGATTGACTTTACCAAGTGGATCATCATGGCCTTGCCATATTGGTCCATTTGTTTGACCTTTACTATAATTATGTATTTATTTGATTTGATTTTCGGTTGTTACAGACGGGACAGACATGACTGGGGGATAGGACAGGGAGAAAGAATGAAAGAAAGAGAGGAAGAGAAAGAAAAATAGATGGGAGAAGAGATGGTGAGACAGGGGGAAGACAAAAAAAGAAAAACAACAATGTAACAGATTGTTGATTGAACCACTGGTACAGTTTTTGCAATCTCTCTGAAGAGTTTATTTTGTTTTCTCGTTGTAATGAGGGCCCCTTCACTTGCATCAACACTCTTTGGACTTCATATTTAGAGTTCCAGTGAACATCTAACAAATACAAGTTCAATACTTGAAATAAACTAATGATTTTTCAGTGTGTATTTGTTATAGAACAACAAGAAGACAGGCCGGATCAGGCCAATTGACCTTGGAGCCTCTCCCCTTATTTTAAAGCTGAAAGTCTGCACTTCAATCACATCAAATTGTTTTTTTTATTTGCAAAAGAGTTTGTTCTAAGTTCCGTCATTGCTTTGGTCGCAGACCACATTGCCACAATAGATTTAATGGCGCTATGTCTCTAAATCTTAATGAATCTCACTGAATACTCCCTCATCCATGGTATGATTTTAATATTTTAAAAAAAATCTTTAGAGTCTAGCTACACTGCAAAAATCCCTCGTCTAAGAAAGATGGGTTATCAGTGATTTAATAAGCTAAAATTGCCACCTTTGTCATTGCAATCAGTTATTTAAGTGTCCCAAAACAGCTGCAGTGGCGTATGATTTTAAAATGAGGCAGATTAATTTGTTGTATGGGAGATGCTCAAATCATTACAGAAATGATTTTATAAGAGAACAAATTTCCCATGGGCATCAAGTTATTGAACAATATGGTGCTTGTTTCAGCCGCAGATGCGGATAAAAAATAATGTCGCTTCGGGACAGCTTTCTGTTTATAATTTTAATTTTCGCAGAAATGTCACAGGCACAGAATGACTTTTGAATATACACTTTGACATTTATGAAACAACAGCTATAATACTGTTTGTTGCTGTCTCTGTTATTTCACATTAAATCTGTTTTGTGATTGAATACATCTATAAGGTACTGTTGTATGTGTGCTCATATGTAAAGCTCCATTGAAATTCCTCCCCAAAGGTCATAATAAGCCAACTGTAACCTGTAAATCATGACTAGCTCTGTATACTAACCGATGGCAGGACTAATAACAACAACCCTCTTTAGCCTGAGTTATGTAATTGTTTTCTAGCAGGAATTCACCTCCTGTCTATTTATTTTTTCTGTCCTTTTGATTTAAATCAGATTAGATGGTGTCTTTTTTGGTAGTACTTTAAAAAATTGTGATTTATCTTCAGTTTGTCAGGAAGCAATTTGGGAAGCTTTTCGGATCTTCTTGGACAGAGTGCCAAACTCAGAAGAGTACAGGGCCTGGGTTTACACCTGCCAGCATGAAAACCTCTGCATGGACGACTTGGCTCACAATTTCAGCAGCTCTCAGGAGCACCTGGACATGGTCGCCAGAGTGAGTGTGGAAGTCCACTTTCCATAACAGTACATTTGTACTCTGTGCTTGCTTGGTGTAATAGTAATGTAATAGCTGATATCATTTCGTGTGTGTGTTTGTTTTTAATTTCCAGAGAGTAGCTGAGGAAAATGAAGGGTAGGTAAACTTCCCTCTGAAATGTGAAAGTGTTTTCTGTGCGTGGAGTCATTTTTTTAAGAATCAGCTACACTCCAGAAAGGAGAGGCTTTTCTTTTCTTTTCTTTACTTTTCTGTAACTGTGTAAAGTGCCTAGTAATTGCCAAAGGACTGACAGTTTTTTAATATATGTTGTTTTTGCAACAGCAAATATTTTTACACTCAATTACAAACAGAAGAATGTTGCAGATTTTTTTTAAAAAAATGGTGAAGGTGAAGATCCCTGAAGTTTTTTAAATATAATTTTTCTTCCATTTTCAGAATTGAATCTGGGACTGCAGAGCCAGGAAGTGAATGTGAGTTTGACAGATAAACACCATTAAGGTTGAAGCAAAACAGACTTGACTTAAGCCACAACCACACGCCGAGAGATTGGTTGGCAATCCATTGGCAACCAACAGTCGCTAGGGAAAATATGCATTTCCCGACTGGTTGGCAAGTAGTTGTGTCGTTTTGGGCGTCATAAAACATTCATAAAGATATCATGATTTAACTTATATGTTGCTTTATTGTGTCAGGCACCTGGACTCCGCCTGTGATTCTCCTTCCAACTGAGGCTGATGTGGTAGGTCAACTATAACAGTTAGAACATTAACTCATTGTCAAGTTTCAGATTTTTAATTAGTAGTAAAAAAATGCCATGTGGATTTTGGTTTGCTAGGTAAAAGAGATAAACCCCAGCATGATGAAAGAAAACTATGAAGAGTATATTGTTGAGTTCAGGATCACCATCGTGGATCCGACATACAGCGAACTGCTCAGTAACCCCGAGACTGCACAGTACAATGACATCGCCCGAGACCTCAAACAAAGGGTGAGTTTAAGCATCAAGTCCCCCTCTGTATCTTACTCCTGTGATCGTCTTATTCTGTCATTAAAAACAAAAGCCCTTCTTAATGGCGGTGTTATGTAACAAGGTATTCGTGATTGCCAGCTTGTATTACATTGCAGCGTTAGGTCTAACACACACCCTGATTGATTTAACAGCTTTAAGGGTAACTGCAGGACTTAAGACTTCTAAATGAGCGTGAGCCTGGAATAGTAAGTTCTAATTATCTCTGACTAAGAAGGCCGGGATAGATTCTCACCACAGTTCAAACAGCCACTAACGCAGAATTTCGTTAAAGAAATAGGTGTAACAGTCAGCGAAAAAATAACGTTTTATTTGGGCAGGTCTGTGAAAAACTAAAGACACTCTTACGGCTTCTACAGGAATTACGAGTGTAAGTAGCAGCTAACAGATTGCACATCTGAAACATTCAGGTGTGTGTTAGCACTGTACAATATTTTTTTGCTCATGGAAATTGCAAAAAACAAAGCAAAAAAACACCAAAAGCTTCATCTCCATGAGATATGTGGAGATATATTTATCACAATCTGCAGCATCACGTTCGATGAGAAACAAACACAGCATATTCTAATGTTAAACGTGAGCTTATCTCTCCAAAAGCTAAAGCTAGGCTAAAACTGGGTCATGCAACAGGAGAGTGATTCTAAGCACAGAAAACTTCCATATATGCCTCATTATTGCAATAGTTATGCACTCCATAATGTCCAAGCTGGATTCAAAAACTCCAAGTTAAAAATTGCTCTAATTTTTTTTTTAACAGTAACAACAGAAAATTCTAGGATTTCTTTCACATTTGTTTTAATTATTTTAATGCTCTTTTCATTTTTTCTGCAGATGCTTCATGTGTTTGAAAAAGTTCCAGGATTCAAAGAGATACGTGTTCTGGGATTTCGGTGAGTTAAAAGAGGATTAATTAGGTTTATCGTAAAAAAAGAAAAGAAAAAAAAGAACATAGAAATGGAAACATTGATTACGGTAAAAACACATCCTTCTTTAGTTTTCCCTTAAAATAGATTTTATTGAAACATTTCATTGCTTATGTCTCGAGAGAAGCTATCCCTTCTCTGTTTCATCTTATCTTTTGGCTTATGCCTGAGTGAACAACTATTACCACTGTCAAAGGAGCTTGCAAAGAAAAGCGTCTGGACTTCTTTAAGTTGCTCGAAGACGTTTCACCTCTCATCCAAGAAGCTTCTTCAGTTCAGTTTCAGAACTGAAGAAGCTTCTCGGATTACCACTATTACCACTGGAGTCTGTGTGTTGTGAGGCTTTCTGACATGATTTATCTTGTTGCTCAGACTGGAGGATGTGTCTGTACGGTATGCTGTGGTCTTTAATGGAGAAACAGAGCTGAATGAGGAACCTGAGGGTTATGTCACAAACACAGGGGAAGACGTAAATGCTCCTAAACTAAAGCACATCATTGTAAAAGCGTTAAAGCAGGAGACATCACTACCACTGGACATACAGACACTAAGCTTTGAGGCTGGTAAGCAAAATATCACACATTTACCTGAATTAGATATTAAGTTTGTGTTCAACATTGAAGTATTTTAACACTTCCTTCTCAGTAACCACAGTTTATCCAGTTGCTGAGCTCAACTTGAATCCTGTTGAGACTGTAATATCCGAGGATGACACCACAGAGGCACCAACAGAGGACAACGCTCTCACCCAAAGTTTCTTCCCCACCTTGGGAGTGATTGAAACCGCATTCGAAGCTTCTACTGTCAAACCAGAAACACACACGTTTGTGCCTTTCATCCCCAACATCCTCCCAGAAGTCACTTCTGCCTTCACAGTGGAGAATCCTTTATCGGCAGCTGTAGAAGAGGAGTCCACAAACGATGCTGCAGAGGAGGCCGTTACACAAGGAGCAAAAGTGGAGACTCTCACAGAGCAGGTGGAGGAAGCGGAGACAGAGGTGGAGGAAATACCATCAGCTGAACATGAAGAAGGAGGTGAGGGTGAATCAGAGGAGGAGGTAACAAAAGGTAAGGCTTCCTCAGGTTAAATGTTTATAAAGCGGGATGTTTCAAGAAGTGAAAGCTCTATTGATTAACCCACCAGTCTGCGTAGTGGGGATTCCATTAAGAGGTATTGACAGATAACAGGAAGAACTCAACAACGTGGCCATCATTATTGGTTTTCTATATCTTGTTTCTCTTAATGGTGGTAAAGCTGTTGAAGGATGACCTGCTGTTAAGGACTGGGCAGCTCAGATACATAAACAACATTAGTGAGGATCGAAAAACAAAAGACACCCAGGCAAGAAAAGTAGGGAAAAGGAGCTTACAGTAAATTTTCAAAATTAACAGAAAAAGGCAGGGAAACAAGAATACAGATAGTAATATATGACAAAGTTGTTCCCGGTTGTTTGTACAGAACAGTCATACTTCAGAGGAAATAGGAATGTCAGTACAATTAGATGTGGTGGTTCAGTTGTGCAGATGGAGATTTTTCATGCTGAGAGGATACATTATATTAGAACCCATTACTAAGTAACAACCTGCCGGTGGTCAAGTCATTACATTCTCATGCTGTGCAGGCCAACTTAAACCAGCAACAACTTGATTTTTAAATTCCAGACGACTTTCCAAAGAGACTCAATATATCATGTCCTCGGGCATTGAGAGAAATGTGTATATAAAATGATGCACGACACATGTGCTGTATTATTATTTAGAGGAATGAGTAGGAAAACTTACAATGCCACTTAAGTTCACTGACGTTTAAAACCCTGCCACAGCAATACAGTCAGGTTAAGTTGTGGACCTTGAGCCACTGTAAAATTTGTATTCTTTTCATTGAAGACATTGTGTTGTAGATTTGCTGCAGTGCTTCAGAACATTTTCCTGTTGCATGACACAGTTTCAACCAAACTTTGGATGTCAGACAGATGGCCTCAGATTTGATTCCAGATTATTTTGGTAAATAAAATCCTAGTTGATATTATTTCACAATAATGTGATTTGTTCACACGCATCTTTCCAAAGCTCTTCATAACCCTTCCTAAGGATCCGTATCTGTTCAGTCTTTTTCTAATTGCGCTTTCATGTATTTTAACATTTAACATGCTAATTGAGGGCTGTGGAGTCTGAAAGACAGTTTTTAGGGGTTGTTTTTAATTTCACTGAGCATTGCATGCTCTGACTTTGGGATTAATTTGCCAGCAGCTCTTTTGAATATTTTCTACTCTGGAATAATCTTTTTCGCTTTAGAATAGTGAATTTCAAATTGTTTGACGATTACCTTACGACACTTCCCATATTAATGGGCAGCAACTTTTGCTTCTCTAAGATCATTGTTAATGTCTTTCCTCCTTGGCATTATCTGAAAACACACCTGAATGCACCAGACCAGCAAACATCTGGTCTACAGAGGTTGTGAAAGTTGCTGATGAACAACTAACAAAGTGCATTTGATTATCAGCACCTGGCTGCTACTTACAGCCTAATTCCTATGGAAGATGTAAGAGTGATGTGCAAACTTTCTTTTTCACATGAGTGGAGAAATTTGGTGAGATTTTGGCATTATAGTTTGTCTTTTTAGTCTCTCCACTTACAGTTAGGCTAAGCAAGGATAACAGTTTCTTTACTCTTGTTCTAAAAGATGAAATAAATATAATAATTATATGAAGAAACAACAATAAAAGAAAAGAGAGAGCTGTAAGTAACTATGGTTTAATGAAATGGAACATGGAGTGAATATTAAAATGACTGAAGTGACTTGGCTAACAGCAGCAGCAGCAGCAGATCAGGGTATTAAATAAATGTGACTGGCATGGCCTCAGACATACAGTCAAATGATCAAAGCAGGGAGATAACAAGATCTGGCTCAAACAGCATCCTATGATTCATAAGTCGCCTGCAAGTGGTGCAGCTAGACAGCTAGTTATTTTTGTCTTCCGTGCAACAAATTTATGTGGAAGTACACCACAAAAAATTATACATAATATGCTTTTTGGGGTAAACTTCAGATACTCAAAATAAAAATAAAAATATAAGCACTGTTGCTAAAGTGTTTTTTGTATAAGATATTTAAGATGATAAGATATCCACATGGGAATAACTGCTGTAGATGAATGGTTCCACATAAAAGCTCTCCTAGAAAATTATAGTTACTAATGTAACTCAAATTCTATGATTGCTCATGCTGATCACTCCTTGTATCATCCTGGCTCTGCCTGTATTGCAGTTATGGTCATACATAACAATAAGTGTACAAGTACATTTAAATGCAAAATATCTTCTTCCTTTTCCTGCTGTGTTTTACGTTCAAGAACCCAGGCAAGCTGATGGGGGGAATGAGCATCCAGATCAAAAGGATGAGGACCTTTCTGTAACAACTCCAAACCTCCAGCCTAAGGAAGTTATGACTGATGCTGAGGTTTTGACTGACCTATCACTGCCTACTTACCCTATCCCAATTTTGGAGATGTCTATCACAGAAACAGCAGCACCAGTTTCCACACCATCACCACTTGAGGGCAAAGTCCAAGGCATTGAACCAGAAACAGATGTGAAGTCTTTGCCATCCCCTGTGGACAGCAGCAAAGCCCCTGAGGATGCCAATGAGTCAAGTGGAGGGCACAGTGGAGTAGCCCCGGTCTCAGTGGACCTTATTGCTGAGAGTTCAAACAGTCAAAAGAAAGGAGGACAGAGTCAGAATGGTACAGAGTTGGTGTCCAAGCCCCATGAAGTGGAAAGTGGTAGTGGAGTCGCCTCAGAGTCTGAAGAACGCCCATATGAGTCCACTGCTGCCCCAATCATTAGACAAGCCAGCACACCTCTGATGACAGCAGTGGATAAGAGCAAAGAGTTAGTGGTTTTCTTTAGCTTGAGGGTCACTAACATGATGTTTTCTGATGACCTGTTCAACAAGAGCTCTCCTGAGTATAAGACACTGGAGAATACGTTTCTTGAACTGGTAGGTACACAAGCATTTGTGCTTGATATCGTGCTTCTCCATGTTTCATTCTCATACTTGCTTTTGTAGCCCAGAGATGAAAACTCTCAGTTTCAGAAAGTGCAACCATGTTTCCAAAAACACTGAAAGTCACTTTGTGTTAATAAAAGCACAACTGAATAATTTGCCAATCGATTAAACCCTACACGAAGAGAAATATCCAATGTTTAAACTTTAAAAAGGATTTGTTTTTAAAAAATGTGTTTACTTTTTATATAAAACACCTTAAAAGGGTTATTGTTCCAACTTTTTGGGGAATGGGGTTTGGGAATTTCTTATTCTCTGTTTTGTTGTTCTATATTAGTGAGGAAGCACAGTGCAATAAGCCTTATCCTCACACCAGCTTTTAATCCCAAGAAGTTATTGTAATGAATTATAAAAAGTTATATTTTTCATTATTAAATGTTGTTTTCATTATTTTTGTAAAGTGAGGTAAAGCTTTAAACAATCGCCAAGGTGGTAAAATGATTCTGTTTCACTCAGACACAACACTCTGGGTCCAGAAATTCGCCAAACCCTGGAGCTTCCAGTAAATCTGGGCCTAGGAGACAGACGACTTTAGCCTCCATACCGGTATTTTTTTCCATATTGGAACTGCAATATAATTCTAATGCCTCAGAGAAAGTTAACTAACCTTTTCCAAATGCAGTAACTAAAAAATCACGACATCTCTTAACATTTCTAACAGTTCTCAGTTATTCAGCTTTAAACTTAAGCTTTACTTTCAACCTTGTAGTAAATTATAGACTCTCCTGCTAGCCTGCTACAATGCATAGTTTTTATCTGTAAGTCTGATTCTGTTTAGGGGGTTTGACTTTGTGTGTTTCGCCTTAATGTTTGACTGCAGTTTTGCTTTTACAGCAAGATGTACTATGAAGCAAATTTGTTTTACTAGTGCTTTGCTTAATGAATCATCAAATCCCAAATTTTAAATGTAGAATATGTAAAATTCAAAACCAGGCATGAGAAATTTTGTGCCACCATGCAGACGGCTCAACAGGTTTTCTCTAAGTTGAGAATTGATACCAGTCATGGGGCATATCATGTTAAAAAGAAATAACCTTCTCATGTCTAGGTTATGTGTTCAGCATAGTTGACCATGGTGATGTTGCCAAGCTAAAAGAGAGTCACCATTGTGACACAAAAAACTCCTGTTGCATGGCCTCAGCTTACTTATCTTACCTATTAATCTTGCTTCCTGGTACAACTCTGAAGTCTAGACTCTCTTTGACTCGTTGTCAGCATACTCCTGGTTTCTGCAAACAGAGGGGTGGCCATGGGTTTCTCAAAAGTTTCTCTATAAAAAACAGTAATGATTTTCTTTATTGCTCAATCTGTGTCAGGTTAGCTTAGCACAACATATCCCATTTGCCACTTGAGGTCACTGACCCCAACCAAGTAACAGAGCATCACATCACCGCTCATAAAATCAGTCTAGCTAGCTGTTTCCCCACATTTCAGCTCTTAAAAGTTGCCTGCAAACTTTAAGGATCCTACATTTTTGTGCTAAGTTAGCTAAATCAGAGAGAGTCATATAAATCTGTGCACCTATTTCTTTAAAGTACAACACTGAAAGCAAAACATCTATGTAGTTATCCGTGCTTACAAGCTTTGTGGAAAGTACTGCAAATGTGCTACTAGCTGACATTGCTTTGTTATTATTTGTGAGCCTGTGAGTTTAAATTTACGTGTAAAGTGTATACTTCTTCAGGTTTTATCTTTTAAACTGGGAAATGCAGTATGCAGTGAAAGTGTCCTGCAGTTAGCTATTCACCGCAATCTCTGACATTTACTTTTGCATTGTCATTTATTTATTGGTATGTGTGATTTTTGCTTGTTTGGGGCCTTAAAGATTAACCCAGAGAGTGGCGGAGTAAATAGTAAATAAGTGGGCCAAGAAAATATAGTACAGATGTCACATAGCTTTGTGAATTTTATATATGTTAGAAAGCAACCTAGCTCAGGGCAGTGTGAGTCATGGGACCTTGGTCTGCCTTAGTCATTGGTTGTGACCCGAGGTAAGAAGCTTTAATTCTAGTCAGTTCCAGCACCACACACATTATGCTATTAGTGGTTTCCATCTGCTTAGTGTGATGGCAGTAAAGTTTATATGGACATCTGCATGCATTTTGCATCATTTATTCTGAATGGGTACCTGTCAAAATAGGCACACTGTATATATGTACTACTATTGGCCAAGAGAAAATGAAATAAAGCCAATCACAAGCTGGACAATGTTATGTTATTTTATTTGGATATTTGAGTGTATGACCTGCATATATTTTATTTCCCCCCCAAAAAAGAAGTGTACATTAGCTGCTGGCATGTATGTACATGAGGACGATGTCTCTTTAAACCTGCATTTGCCACAAGCATCAAAGAAAGAGGCATCACTTGACATCTCTGTTTAGTTTTGATGCTTGCCCCTAGGTATTTTTAGGCCCACTCAGAAGAGCCCTGCATTCTGTGTTATGTAAAGACCTTCAAATCAAGAAGCAGCAGCAATACAAACTGGATTGTATGCATGCAGTCATGCCAGTGGGCATAGGGAACGTGTATTTAAAAAATATATAAATATATATATATTAAAAAATATGCATAAAAATCCTGAAACAATAACACAAACAACACTCCATCTCCAATCTTTAATGGTTGCCCAAACCCCAGTTTCTGCAATTCTCCTTGTTAATTAATGTATTTAGCCGTTTTCAGATGGTTGCACTGGTAAGTATTTACTATACTTAATATATTATTTTGTCAGCACCCATTAGGATTTTTCAGTCTTCCTTTAAATGGGCTTTTTAAATAAAGACAGGCCCCAGTGTATCCAGGCGGGGTTATAAATCACTAAAACAATAACGAAGAAATGTCAAATAATGCATATGATGCAGCCCATTTAAATGGATGCAGTGTTTTCTTTGTTTTGTTCAAATATACATGAACAATTAGCCTTCATACCTTTTACCACACTCCCCCATTACTCCTGTACCTACTGGTTTGTGAAGCAACCAATAAAACTGGATATGGAGGTTGGAGGGACTTAGTTTGATACAGCAAATCAAAAAAATTTAAAACTTATGGAAGCAAAATACTTCTTGGGACTTTTGACACAGATGCAGGGATATTTCATTTGGGTTTTCCAAAGCAAGAACCAGTAGATACAAGTGTAACCTCAGAGAAGCAAATGTGATTGTGTCAGATTGATGAATTCATAGTTTGTGCCGATTGTGTCAGACTGATGAATTCATAGTTTGTGCCATGCATCCTGCAAAGGTTTAGTGTATATATCTATATCTATATGTATATATATATATATAACATGGCAATTTAAAGTATCTTTAGCGTCTCAGTACAGACTCTAGTGAGAATTCTTGTAAAAAAACAAGCTTTGACCTTGCATGAAAGTCAATATAGCTGGATTGGTCATCTAAAGTGGGCGATAATAACTCAACGATTTTCTGCATTGAGACAAATGGATGACCAAACAACAGTGTGAATGTGTATTTATATTGCAAGCTGTGGCCCATTTGTTCTGGATGGTGGACCCTCCAGTAGATACACCTTCCTTAGCTAAGACTGTTAGCTATAGGGAGCTAGCTGAGAGTAAACTGCTTGTCAATGATAAGTGAAATAACCAGATCAGAGCAGAGCTCCTTAAGGCCTCTTATCTCCCTCTCAACAGCCAGGCCTGCTAAAGCATCGTAATCTCTCTCCCGCACACTGTGGTGGTTTGATGTTTGCCTCATCTGTAGTGAACATGGAGTGGCTTGAAGGAGAGTGGTTCAGATCGATGGACATTGATGTAGGCCCATTACTTGAGCTGGTTGACTTCCTTCCTGCCTAAACAGGTCTGCAATCATTGGTTCGAAGTCCCAAAAGATTGGCTTCTCACTTATCTGGACTGCAAAGTCTGACAATGCGGGGAAATTTAATAATGTCTGCATGGGAAGTTAACTTTAACTTAAAGCTAAGACATGGCTGTGTAAATATAGAGTTCCAGA